AACATATACAAAGAGAATTGGGATCAAAGACTCTAGCTAATAGTATTACAAGTTTTAAGGAAGGAAAAACATGTATTCAATTTACATCATGTAATCTTTCTTAAAGTCAAAAATTGTATTTTACTACTTCCACTCTTGTGACTAAACCACTTTAAATTATTCAGTCAAATGTTTGGGGGACCTCCCCAAGCTCTTATATTCAACTTTATGAACATTATGTGGTCTTTGTTGATGCTTTTTCTTTGTTCTTCTGGGATTTCCTACTCAAGTTCGATAAATTTTTCTTGAATTTGTTCAATTTAAGGTTGAAAATAAATTTAATACCAAAATTATGATCCTTCGGAGCGATGGTGGTGTCGACTATTGCATACGCAACTTAATAACTTTCTTTGAGCTCTGGTATTCAACATTACTATACTTATCCTTGCCCTCCTAAACAAAATATTTTTATGAACAGCAACAAGGACACCTTCTAGAAACTATTAGTATTCATTTAACTGAAGCATGGTTAACCACTACCCTTTGGGTCGACACCCTACTTACAACATGTTACCTTATTAATTAGCTTCCCCAAAAAATACTTCCTTTCACATCCCCTTATGAAATACTCTATAATAAACCCCTTAGTTCTACTCATTTAAAATTTTTTGGGTGCCAATGCTTTATTTGTCTCAAACCATACTCTAAGAACAAAATATTTCCATTATCAAAGACTTTTGTTTTTATTGGGTTTTTCTTGTATAAAAAAGGATATAAATGTCGTGATATTAAGTCTACAAAATTTACATCTCTTGGCATGTCATCTTTAAGAAAATCACATGTTCATTTTAGTAATTGTCTAAGAAATTTACATGTTTCATCTCTCCTATAGCTGAGTTACCGTCACTTCTACTAATTACCGCACCTTCTCTACACATGCTCAATCTTATCATCATCTACCAACATCTTCCAGTCATTCCCTTCTACCTCTACTGTAATATCTAATTCCCCCCCATCATACTTGAATAGTTCCATTTTATTGCCCACAACCCTTATGTCCTCTTAGTTCTCTTCTCTTCTTAAACATCCCCCACTCATGTACAACCTATGGGGACAAGAACTAAAACCAGTCACCTTTCTCAAGAAAATATTTGATTTAACCACCAAATGAAACTTACTGATCCTATCAGTTACAACACAACAAAAATTTGTGTAAAGTCATGTGTTCTAAAATTTAGACTTTATAAGTTCAAGGGACTTGAGAGCTGGTTCCACTTGGACATTCAATACTAAATACAATGGGGATGGCTCGGTTGTTTGATAAAATGCATGTCTTGTTGCTCAATGATTTAAACAGCATGATGATATTGAGTACAATGAAACTTTCAGTCTTGTTGCCAAAAATTTTCCTAATTTTGTTTTTCTTGTCATATCAATTTCTTATGATTGGAAAATTACTCAACAAGATATGTTAAATGCATTTCTTCATGGTTATTTGAATGAGGAGTTCAACATGGAATACCCTATGAGATTTGTTGGCCAACTTCATCCACACTACATATGCAAACTTCATAAAGCTATTTATGGGATTAAGCAAGCCGTTAGGTAGTGAGCCACTTTAACAACCCAGCTTTAAAAGATTCATTTCAAATCAATTTCTGCTTATCTGTCCCTCTTCTGCTATCATAAAGACTATTAATCTTTATATACTAATATAAATGGATATTATCCTAATTTATGGAACTGATTCTATTTACATTACAAAAACCATTGATATTCTTCAAACAAAAGTCAAAATGAAAAATCTAGGAACAATATCAAAATTCCTTGATATCACCGCTATTCAAACAACTTCCTGGTTACATTTAAATCAAGCTTCTTCTGTTTAAAAAATAATTCATACCTCTGGCATGTAAAACTCTAAATTTGTTTTAAATCCCACCATACATCACAAAGTAGATGAACCAAATGCTCCCCTTGATAACTCGGACTCTTCATTTTATCAACACATTGTTGGATCGCTCCAATATTTAACCTTGAAAAGACTTTCTATCAGTTATGACGTAAATCATGCGAGCCAAACTATGCATCATCCAACTCATGTCAATATTCAACAACTAAATTATCTTCTTTGCTACATCAAAGAAATCATATCTCTCAAACTACTTATAATTAAGGACGAACCTACATTTAAAGCTTACATTGGAGCTAATTGGGCAAGGGATCTTCTGGATAGGAAGTCAACCTCCAGTTTAGGTGTTTTTCTAACTTCACTCTTATCTCATGGTAGGTTAAAAAATAGGTTACCATTGCACATTCTTCAAATGAAGCTAAATATCGAGCTCTAGCAACAACTTCCACAAATTAAACATTATATGGCTTCAGAGACAACAAAAAGACTTTCGTATTCATATACTTGAATCGACCATAATTTATTGTGATAATACATCTGTTATAGCTTTTACAAATAATGCAGTCTTTCATGCCAAGATAGAACATATTGATCTAGGTTGTCACTACATCAACACTTTGGATCAACTAGTTGATCTCTTTACTAAATCTCTATCAAATTTTAGATTTTAGCATCTATGATACAAATTTACTATATCTAACAACTATCGTTAGTTTGAAGGGAAATGTTAGGCTGATGTTTTAGGATTAATTATTTTTTTTACCGCTTCTTATCGTCTTGCTTGGAGTATTGTACATCTCATATGTCTATAGATAGTCTTGTATAAACTTGTAGTTGATAAAACATGTATGAATAAATTCCATTGTGTCATTCTATCACTTAGTTTTATTTATCATATAATATAACTAGTAGGCTTGTATAATGAATGAAGGTTAAGAAAGAAAAAAGTGCAAAATGAAATTGTTCTGATGGCTCTTATCAAGAATATGAAGGGGCAAAATTTTTACGAGGACAAGCACAACGCCAACCCTTTCCCATTCCGGCCCCACACCCTTTGCCTGTTTTCATTTGTTTTATTTTCAATTTAAAAAAAAAAGGAAAAGAATTTCAGAAAGAAAAACCAAACTGATGTAGGCTTGGGGGTGAGCGCCGGAAGCCAGACAGGACAGTTCCGTAAATACTCAAAAACCCATGGGCATCATCATAAACCGTTCCCGCCGCCCCTCCCGTCCGGGTAATCATTTCGCGCCATCTATTTCCCCTCAACGGACCCTTTCCACCATGTTGCCCCGCTATTCCTATCACGCCCCTAATTAATCATAATTATCTCCCCTAGCCCTTTTCCCCACGACTAATTGCATCTCTTCATTCGTCAAAGTTTATCATCATCAATAAGTATAATTTTAATTAATAAAAACTAAAAAAATGAATAAAGTTTGGCCGGTTAGCCTTACTATCATATTACTAGGGGTGTAAATGAGTCGAACACGAGCGAGCCCAGGCTCAGCTCGTTCGTCTCGTTTATATTTCGAGCTCAAAAGAGCTCAAAAAGTGTGTTCGTGTTTGACTCGTTTGCTTAGCGAGCCGAACACAAGCCGTTCACGAACAAAGAGTCATTTTGACAACCCTAATCACGTAGTCATACGATGTTAAGAATTTGGGCAAGATTTAAAGCATCATTTGAATCTAATTTAATATTTTTTATTCTATTTTCTTAATTAATCCTTTTAATTGACTATGAATCTTCGTAGCCAATTAATTTTTTTAAAAATACTATAAATATTTTAGTCTTGTAGTCAATTAAATTATTTAAAAACAATACTATATATATATAATGCGTATTATTTCGAGCCAAAAATAAACCAAACAAAACATGAATGAACAAATCTTTATTCGTGTTTGGCTCGTTAACTTAGCGAATGAGCCAAACACGAGCTTCTTAACTAGCCGAACATGAGTTGTTTGTGAATAAAGAGTCATTTTGTCTGCCCTAACTATGTATATATCAGTCGATATTTTTAAAAAATAAAAAAATTGAAGTATTCTAGATAAGGAAAAAAAATATTAAATTTGATAATGTGGATGGGTAGTTTCATTAATTATATTTAGATTTTAATGATATGAAAATTCAATCTTAAAACTTTTTAGTCCATTTTAAATCATAATTATAATTATTCAGTTGACTTCCTGGTAAAGTGTTAAGTTTGGTTGAGTTTAAATAAGTCGTATTGAATTTGTAAAGAGCTCCATAAAATCAAAGGCTGAAATCATATAGATTGATTGAAATTGGTTGAAACCGACTGAAATCAACTCTCGATCGAAACCATTTTTTTTTGGGGCTAGTTTTAATCGTATGTAAAATGATATTCTCCTCATATTATGTACATTACAAATTCTAAAAAAATATCTTTATTTATTATAAGGCCTAAGACTTATATATATAGCGGAACGGCCAGCCAATCCCGCTCGCAATCCCGCTAGGTCCGAGATTGTACCCATAACCCAACTAATTCAAATACCACCTTCATATAGCGGATAACCCGCCTGGAGCGGATTCGAACACCCGACCTGAGGGGACTTACAACTAACGAAACAGATATCAACCAAAGCTG